CTCATTCTCCTCCTCCTCCTCCTCCTCCTTCTCCTCCTCTCCTCCTCCTCCTCCTCCTCCTCCTCATCCTTCGCGCGTGCCGCAGTCCTCCTCCTCCTCCCTTCTCTCCTCCTCCTCCTCCTCCTCCTCCTACTCCTTCTCCTCCTCCTCCTCCTCCTCCTCCTCCTCCTCCTCCTCCTCCTCCGCCTCTGCCTCCCGCTTTCCCCCACGGCGGCTCGGCTCCGGTGACTGTCTTCTTTCCCGGCGCCTCGCGGCCGCCGGAGCCGCAGCGAGGCAGCGAGGAGGGCGCCCCCAGCGGCGGGGCCAAGAGGCCCGCCGCATGCTGCAGATTTCGAAAACCCGCCCCCCTTCGAAACCTCCCACAGGCTGTTGGCTACGGGTACATAGATCCCGGCGCCGATGCTGAAACAAACTTCCCCAGGAATAAGGAGGGCAATCGCGGGGAGGGTAGCGAATCAGCTTGGCACGGGGGAGCGGGTCCTGATAAAAGGTGCCCAAGGACAAACAACTAAGTAGACACACGAACCCAAGGATTCCCCATATGTTTGTTCCTCTATGTTTTCTGGGTTTCGTCTTCCCCACCAATTCCAACATGTTCCCATTCAGTGGGGACCAATTTACAAAAAAACGCTCCCACAAGAAACCCAACCCTGAGGCCCCAGGACGTCCGTTGATTTTTGGTGTGGGAACGTCACGGCTTCCGTCGCGAAACCATTGGCCTTCTGGGACGCTGTCCCGGCATTCCCCGAAGACGGAGAAAACCTCTCATAAAGCCGCAGGGCTTCTGAGAAGCTCCGCCCCCTTCTGAGAAGGCCTCCTCCTTCTCACGCCCACCCTTCGCTCGCAGCCGATTCCCCGCCACTGAAAAAAAGGCCTTCCGCGCCCGCCACGGGGAGCTCCCGCGGGCCCAGCAGGGCCTGTAGCGCCTGAGCGACGACGACGAGGAGGAGGAGGCGGCGGCGGCGAAAGGAGATCGGGCGCTTCGAAAGCGAGTTACGGAAACCCTCAACCCCAGGGAGGGTGGGAGCCCCGAGTTGTCTCCGCTCGACCACCGAGGGCCGGCCCAAACTGGGGCCGACGAGGAATCAAAAACGCATCGCGTAGGCTACAAGTTCTTTGAAGCTGGCGGAGGAGGAGGAAGACGGGGGATGTCGGAGGCTCGAACGAGAAAAAGGAGCACGAGTGGGGGCCTCGGGGCAGGCACTGGCCTTGAACTCACTCACGGCTCATGGATCCTCAGTACCCCTTCCCGTCTGCGGCAATATCGCCGGACTCTCCGTTGTTCGCAGTGGCCTCTGCATTGTCGAAAGAGGCTGCGAGATCATTCTCGGTGGCATCTGGCCAATTTACTCAATGAGCGTGTTCAATGAGCTGCCGCAATCTCGATACCCACTTCATCCTGACGCTGGCTCGCCATTCTCTCACGCATCCTCCTCTGACTCACAACAGCTCGGTCTCGTCCAGCACCGCCCGGAGGATCCGCTCCGCACTGCTGCGGAGGGCGAGCCCTGGACGCAGCTCGCCTTCTAACTGGGCGATGCACTCCTGGAACGTTCGCTGCATGTCGGCCTCGGCCAGCGAGAAGACCATCTTCGCGAGCCCCTGGTTGCACGCGCTGGAGACCCGAAAGCCCTTGACTAGCATGATCAAGTCGCTGATGTCCTGGATCCCGTCGAGCCTCTGGTGGTGACCACTCCAGTTCTTTGCATTGCGAGCACCCACGCTGTCGCCCGCCACACTGACTTTCCTCGCCACCACTAGGAATATCTGCACACACGCTGGGCCCATGTTGATCTCGGGAAGCTCCTTGGAGTTGTCTTTGTGGTGCTCCTCGCGGAGCGTCGCGGCCTGCTCGGCGGAGGTCCTCCCCGCTGAAAAGGCTGCTTGCACATCGGCAGCTCCCCGGGCAACGTGGTCGTCACGAATGCCGCGACCATCAACAGATTCTGATACTGAAAGAGTTGCCCAGCACCGCCCGCATCAGGATGGGCATGACCTGTGCCATGGTGGGCGGCCACTTCTCGATCGCATCTGGAGGCAAGGCGTACGAGCGCCCCACCTCTTGCTGCTGGTGCGCGTGGCTGCGAGCCTCGGCCGCGGCTGCGGGGCGGCGCCTTGCTGCTGGTGGCGGCTGCCGGCTGCGCCCGCCCACGCGGCGCCCGCCGCCACGCTGACGGGAAGCGTAGGCTGAGCCAGAGCGGCCCCGCCGTGCTCCGCCTGTGACGACCTTGGACCTCGAGCGGCCCGCTGCTGCCGCGACTGCCTCCTCGGACAGGCGGAACATCGTCGGACTCGCCGCGGGTGAGTGGCAGCCGTGGGAAGGAAGTGGTGGAGGAGGAGGAGGAGGAGGAGGAGGAGGAGGAGGATCAGGAGATCAGGAGGAGGAGGAGGAGGAGGAGGAGGAGGAGGAGGAGGAGGAGGAGGAGAGGACGACGACGACGGCCCCTGAGAGACGGCATCCCCCGCCCGCTCGCTCCTGACGGCGCGCGGGTCGGCGCCCGGCCCCGGGGCTCGAGCTCGGGCGGCTTCGCCGCGGCACGAGGGCACACGGGCGGCGGGCGAGGAGGGGGCACGAGGGCGCTGGCGCGAGGGGGGGGGAGGGGGGCGAGGGAGGAGGGCGGGAGGGAGGAGGAGGAGGGAGGGGGATCGAGGAGGGGATGGGGGAAGGGAGCGAGGGAGGGGAGAAGGGAGGAACCGAGGGAGGGAGGAGGACGAGGAGGGAAGGGGGGAGGAGGGGAAGAAGGGAGCGAAGGATGATGGTGACGACGATGATGCTGATGATGATGATGATGACAATGATGATGATGCTGATGATGATGATGATGATGATGCTGATGATGCTTATGATGATGATGCTGATGCTGATGATGATGAATATGATGATGATGATGATGATGATGATGATGATGATGATGATGATGATGATGATGATGATGATGATGATGATGATGATGCTGGTGATGCTGATGATGATGATGCTACTGATGATGATGATGGTGACTATGATGAGTGTGGTAATGATGTTGGTGATGATAATGACCTGCGCTGGATCTGCGCTGGATTCCCCTCCCAAGCGCGCGGAGCGCGCCAGGGGCGGCGCCGGAGGCTCCGCCGGGGGGCCCAGCTCGTGCCCAAGAAATCCGCGCGGAGCGACACAAGTTTGTGTGTGTGTGTGTATGGCGTTTCTCTTCTTCGAATGCATGCACGTTTGCTGCGCCGTACGTGGCCGCCGAGGCTCGACTCCGCAAGTCACCCGCCGCTCGAGCGACGACACGACGAGGGGTCTCACGCGAGATGGCACAGCGACCTCGCGCAGAGGCTTGCGCGGACCGCCGGCACGGCACGCGGCGTGGGGAACGAAGGCGCGCGCGCGCGCGACCTCACCGCGGGCAGCTTACGCGCCAGCGTGGGAGAAGACGACCCCCTTTCGCTGCGTCGCCAATTGGGGCGACGACCAAAAGCAGGCCTTACGCGAGTGGACACAGCGGCCTTACGCCGCAGCTTACTCGGGCCGCTGGCGCGGCACGCTGCATTGGCAACGAGGCCGCTTACACGTGACCTTACGCGGGGAGCTTGCGCACGAATGTCGGCGCAGACGACCCAGTTTTCTCCCGTCGCTCATTCGCATTTCATTCACGCACCTAAGCGAGGTTCATGCATCCTCTGGCCCGCACGTTCTAGAGCCATGCCGAGGGAAGACCTGCGCGTCCACAGCTTCCGAGCTCCCTCCGGTTCCATCTCAGCGAAGCGCTCCTCAGAAGGGCCCCGCCTTCTAAGAAGGCCGCCCCGCTCGCGCTACCCTCTTAATTATGCGCGCCGCCAAGTCTGGGTAGAGGACCGCGAGATTCTTGAGCAGGGACCGACCGTCCCGGCATTCCTCTAGGCCTACCACGACATTTTCTCAGAACACAAAAATGGTCGAATTACAAACACAAGGCTCTTGGAACATAACGCCGATGCCTTAAAACAAGACAGTCACAGCCAGAAATGGTCTAAGAAAATCTCGTGCAGACCGCACAAGGTTTTTGTAACACTCTTTGGTGGGCCTAGAATTAGGTCGGGGCTGTCCCCCTACAGGGGGATTTTGGGAGACAAATTAAAAATACCCCCAACAATCCCGAAAAGCACTAGAAACATGCAAAGACATAATCAAACAATCGTCCCCAGACTATTTTTCTACTAGTTTTGCATATTCTCCCTGTGGAGGGACAGGCCCGACTTAAGCCTATAAGCAAGCCAGGACGTTTCGCCACCGCTCGATTCCATGTCCGCCCCCCTCGCGCTACTCTCTGTATTATGCGCGCCGCCAAATCTGGGGAGAGGGTCGTGATATTCGGGGAGGGCCGACGAGGGAGGGAGGGAGGGAGGGAGGGAGGGGGCGGAGGAGGAGGAGGAAAAGGAGGAGGAGGAGGAGGAAAAGGAGGAGGAGGAGGAAAAGGAGGAGGAGGAGGAGGAGGAGGAGGACGGAGGAGGAGGAGTCAGGAGGAGGGAGGGAGCAGGAGGAGTAGGAGGAGGAGGAGGAGGAAGAGGTAGGAGGAGAAGGAGGAGGACGAGGGAGGATCTCGTGGCCCTGGCCGCGACATCCACACGTCCCCCCTGCGGGGTCGCCCCGGTGTCGTACAGCCGGACCCGGGCCGAGGGAACATCCTTCAGCAGCACTGGACCCTCTGGCGGCCAGAACACACGGAACATCCGAGGACCCCCCCCCCCGAGGATGCGCGAGAACGCCCCGCAAGCTTTATGTCGGGCGCGCCCCCCTACAGGGGGATTTTCGACGAAAAAAAAATGCCCCAGACATATTCCACAAAGGACAAAAAAAACTCAAAAGATAGCCCCCAGACTGTTTTTTGACTATTCTGGGGGTATGTTTTATATTTTTCGTCGAAAACCGCCCTGTAGGGGGACAGGCCCGACTGCACGCAGGCTCGAAGCACACGAGGGCACCCTCCCCGAACAGACCCTCGACCTCGTGCCCCGACCCGCCTGCCGGGCCGCCCCGCCCCCGCTCGCAGGAGGGGCCCGAGGCCCGCCCCTCCGCCGCCGCGCGGAGCGCGCGCCGCGCGCCGGCGCGGGGGGCCCGCCGCGCCCACCGCCGCGCGGCCGCCCGCGCATCGGGGCGGGAGACCCTCTGCACGACGACCCTCAAGAGAGCCCAGAGTCGAAGCGAGGAATCGGATCCGAAATGACTGAAGGGGAACTGGGACACACAAATAAATACACACAAATAAACAGATCCCCCCATATTTCCCCATATTTTCTGGGTTTTTGTCTTCCCCCCCACTTCCCATATTTTCCTATATTTTCCTGGGGGTCGACGATTAATTGTGTCTGTGTGTTTTTTCCCCTCCTGAATGACTCGGATCGGCGGAGGTCGGCGAGCCACGCCGGGGATCGGTGGAATGGGCAGAGCTCGGCAGGCTGGCAGGGCTCCACGGAAGAATCGAGCTCCACATCGGAAGCCGACGTGTCGAAGCGAAGCGGAATCGGAGCCCAGCGGCATCGCGTCGAAGGAGCCCCGCCCCCCCCCCACCCCCTCCCTGACGTTAAGTCGGGCCTGTCTCCCTACAGGGGGATTGTCGACGAAAAAATGAAAAAATACCCCAAAAAGAATCAAATAATAGTCCAAGAATAGTCTGGGGACTATTTTTTGGGTATGTTCTGACCTTTTTGGGGTATGTTTGGGGTATTTTTCCCTACCTAGGCTCTGCCTGGAGGGTTCTTACTCTCTTAGCTTAAAGGGGCCGGGCAGTGTAAAGCGCCCCCGGCGGTTCCCCCAGTCCCCGCCCCGCGGTTCCCCCAGTCGCGCCCCCTGGGTTTCCCTAGCTTAGCTTAGCTAAGCTTCGCTTACCTTAGCTTAGCTTAGTTTAGCTTAGCTTAGCTTATCTCATATTAGCTTAACTTAGCTTAGCTTAGCTTTGCCGTGCCTAGCCTAGCTTAGCTTAGCTTAGCTTAGCTTAGCTTAGCTTAGCTTAGCTTATCTCATCTTAGCGTTGCTTAGCTTAGCTTGGCTTGGCTTAGCTTAGCCTGGCCTAGCTTAGCTTAGTTTAGCTTAGTTTAACATGGCTTTGCTTACCTTAGCTTAGCTTAGCTTAGCTTAACCTAGCTTAGCTTGCCGCAGTATTCGCACAGCATAGCATAGCATAGCATAGCCAAGCCAAGCCAAGCATAGCTCAACATAGCATAGTACAGCATAGCATAGCGCAGCATAGCATAGCATAACATAACATAGCAAATCATATCATACCATTACTTAGCATAGCACAGCATAGCATAGCATCGCACAGCATATCATAGCGCAGCATAGCATAGCATAGCATAGCATAGCATAGCGCAGCATATCATAGCACAGCGTAGCATAGCATAGCGCAGCATGGCATAGCATGGCATAGCCTAGCATAAAACAGCGCAGTCGGGCGTACCCTAGCATAGCATAGCATAGCATAGATGTAGATGTAGGTGTAGATGTAGGTGTAGATGTAGATGTAGATGTGAGTCTCGCCGTTGATGTTGATGTAGATGTAGATGCAGGTGTAGATGTACATGTAGCTGTCGGTGTAGATGTAGATGTTGCTCTCCTAAATGCTCCAACTCCTAGGTAGGGTCGCACTGGGATAATTTAGTGTTCATAACCCTGGCGAGTCGTGTTCGTGTCGTGCTGGCCCTGGCGTTGGCTCCTGACACCGTGCGTTCGACCTCGAACGATCGGTCTGTTCCGAAACGTCCGCTCGCTCCATGTCGACCGATTCTGGGCCGGCGGCGGCGTTCCACGTTGCACGCCGGCGCCGGGGTCGCCACCAGTCGAAACGGCACGAACCTACCGCACCAGCGAACTTGTTTCCTCCGCAGAGCCTACAACAGCAGATACAATGTATGCATCTCACCTACGCAGCTCCTGCGCATCTCTAAGAGATCCGACGAGCATTTCTCAATGTTTGGGTGGGTCGAATCTGCAGCCGATCCCCTACTCGATTGCGCAGGCAATCCGAAAGGCGCCGACACGGGAGCGCGCGCGCCGACCCTCAGACCTGGGCTTTGCAATCTTGCTCACGCTGGGCGTGTTCGCCTGGTTTCGGCCTCCAGCAAGACGAAGCCAGGATGAGGACAAACTCGGGTGAGGACGAGTCGAGAAGCACTGAGATTCGGCGGTGGACAAACCTCCCTGTGGTAAACCTCCGCTTGGTGAAAACGGCCTGGGACCGAAATCGACGGGCATGGACCCGCAAAAATGACGCCCGCGACGCCCTCTCGCGAACCAAAAACGGCCGAATCACTCATCGACGTGTCAGGGTAGGAGGTCTATCAATCTCCGAGAGATCCAGTGGTTCTGAAAGATGTCTCGGGCGCCGAAGTCTCAGAGCGTTCCAGAACACTCTGAGAGCGCTCCGGAACGTCCTGGAACGGAGTCATCCCCGTCCTGGCCCCGTCCGATCCGGAACCCTCGCACATCCATCCAGCGCGACGCATTGCGCAGAAAGATGGGGTCCGGAACTCTGGTTCTGATTTTCGCGATGTTGCAAGTGTCTTCGGATCCCAGACCCCGGACGTCATGATTTTTTTCACAGCGTCGACCCTCAGAGGTCCCGACCCCTTCCCCCGGACCAATTCTTCATCTTGAGTGGTTTCTTGACGGTCCCGAGGCCCGGGAAGGGCCTCCAGAGGCCGAAAATTTAGAAAAACCTCCCGTCATGATGTTTGTTCATTGCCCGAGGGGGTCTGCGATTTTCTAGAGTGCCCAGACCCCCGAAGGCCCATGAACAAAAAATCACGACGGGAACCAATGGGCGATCTTCGGCGATCCGCATCGCCGGGCCCCTGGGCCATCCAACAGCGACTCGGTGCGAGAAAACGGTCCCCAGGACAGGGGGGCAGGGGGTGAGGCGGGACGGCTTCTTAGGAGCAGGGCTGCTTCTCAGAAGCCTTCCCCCCTGGGCATAGATTAACCCATCCCTATCCCCCCACTGGCGTTGCCTGGGCCCCACTGACCGATTCACCCCCCTGGATGGGGGGATATACCAGCTGTTTCCTTCCGTTTTCGAGAGGTACATCCCCAACTGGGGTGGTAAGATGGTGGGCGTGGGGATGGTGATCAGGATGGGGTTAAGGCCTAGGGATTGGTGAAAAGGTATTGACCCCCTCCCCCCGGCCTCCCTCTGCAAGGCAAACCATGCGAAAACCCAGACGTCGGGAGCCTGGGGCATGCGCCGGCACCGGGGCTCTCGCGCGCGCGCCCAGCCTTGGAACAGGCCCCCTCCTGGGCCGGGAGAGCCCACCCCTCCCAGACCTGAGTCGGGTCTGTCCCCCCACAGAGGGGGGATTTTGGGCGAAAAATGGAACATACGCAAAAAAATGCTCCCCAAATGCTCAAAAATGATAAGAAGAAAAAAAAGTATCCCCAGACTATTTTGGGGGCTATCTTTGAATATTGAATATCCCTCCTGTGGAGGGACAGGCCCGACTTCATCCCAGACCCTCGACACCATGATTTTGTTCATGACGTCGACCCTCAGACCCGGACCCCCTCGGGCAATGAAAAAATCACAACGGGAAGTTTTTCCATGCTTTCGGCCTCTGGCTGGGGACCCTTGCTGGCCCTCGGGACCGTCAAAACTTTTTGGTCGGCGGGTCGGGAGCGGGCCCCTTCCGGTCAAGGGCTAAACGGGGCGCGGGTAGCCCTAATTGGAGAGACAAGGCGCGGGCGGGCGGGGCCTCAGGCGGCCGGAGGGCTCAGAGTACAGAGGACCGTCACAAACACGACTCAGGATGAAAAACCAGTCCCGGGGAATGGGCCGACCCTTCCGGGGACCCCGCCTTGAACAAATCACGACCTCGGATCTGTGGGCACGTCGACCCCCCGAAGTCCCGACCCCTTCCCCGGCACCGGTTTTTCATCCGGTCCTCCAGAGGCCGAGAATTCGGAAAAACCTCCGGTCATGATTTTTGTTCATTGCCCGAGGGGGTCTTGGATTTGGGAAGGGCGTCCAGACCCCCGAAGGCCCATGAACCAAAAATCACGACGGGATGTTTGTTCATTGCCCGAGGGGGTCTGCGATTTGGGAAGAGCGCCCAGACCACCGAAGGCCGAGCACGGCGAGAGACAAGACCCGTCCATCGTGATCTTTGCCACGGCGCGATGGGGGTATGGGCTGGGCGGTGGCACGCCCAGAGCGTCGTCCGGTGCTGGGTGGCGCTCGGGCGTGCCCCCGAGGAGGAGGAGGAGGAGGAGGAGGAGGACGAGGAGGAGGGTGAGGAGGAGGAGGGGGAGGGGATGGGGGAGGGGGAGGAGGGGGAGGAGGAGGAGAGGAGGAGGAGGAGGAGGAAGAGGAGGAGGAGAGGAGAAGGAGGAGGAGGAGGAGGAGGAGGAAGAGGGAGAGGAGGAGGCGGGGGAGGAGGAGGAGGAGGAGGAGGAGGAGGAGGAGGAGGAGGAGGTGGAGGGGGAGGAGGAGGAGGAAGTCCCCCCCCCCCCCCCGATGGGCCCTCGTTGGCGGTGACTTCAGCTTCCGCTCGACGGCCTCAGCGTGGAAGACGAGAGCGCCTGCTGCTCTGCAGCTGGGCCGACTATCCACGGCCCTGAAGCGTTGGGGGGGGCAGTCGATCCAGATCCCCTCGGGCAATGAAAGCGAATCACGACGGGATGTTTTCCGCTATTTTCAACCTTGGGGGGGCCCTCACCAGCCCTCGGGACCGTCAAGAGACAACTCAGGATGAGAAGCCGGCCCTGGCGAAGGTCGGGAGCGGCCAACCGGCGGCATGTGCGCGGCCCAGCGGGGGGGGCCAGGGACGTCATGAAGTAAGAAGAGGCGCCATAAAATCTGGGGAAATATCATGGCCCCCGCCATGATATCCACCCACCCCTAGTCATCACCCCCCTCTTTGCCGCCCCCGCGAAGGGGTTCAGACCTCTGGGGGTCGACGCCGTGAAAAAAAATCACGACGTCGGGGGTCTGGCGACATGGTGAGAAAGCGAACGTGCACCTCTCGGGTCCCCGCGGCGGCAGCCAGGGGCCGTTGAGGGCCCCTCCAGGGTTACATCGGGCGTGTCCCCCTGCAGGGGGATTTTCGACGACAAGTAAAGCATGCTTAAACAATACTCCAAAATGGCAAGAACATGCTCCAAAAATAATACCCAGACTATTGAGGGACTATTTTTTTCAATGTTGGTGTATTTTGTTCTTTTTCGTCGAAAATGGGGGACACGCCCGACATCACTCCAGGGTCACTCTCCTGCAATCCTCGACGCCCCCCCCCACGCTGGCTGCCGCCCCCGGGCTGCCGTCCCCGCCCAAACCTCGGAGGCCTCCAGGGGGCCTCTGGTGGCGGAAGCGGTGCTGGTCGTCGTTGGGGCCCACGGCGGTCCTGAGCCCGCTGGGCCGCACGACGCCGATGCCGCACGCCCAGAACTCCGACGTCGTGATCTTCTCACAGAGAGGGTCCTCGGAGGCTTGGACCCGTTCCCAAGGACCGGCCTGTTGCCCCGGGTCGTTCATGGACGGTCCCAGAGCCCGGCGAGGGACCCTGGAGGCTGGAGACGGGCAAGAACCTCCGAGCTGGAACGTATCCACACTATCGGGGGCGTCCAAGAGGGCGAGGTCCAAAAGGGGGGGTGCAAGTCATGGTCGTCAACACGTGCGCGGCCCAAGGTGGGAGCTGGGGACGTAACGTACGGAAATCTGAAGAGGTGCCATGAAATCGGGGGAGGTACCATCTGGCTCCCGCCATGTTGGCGGCGCGCACAAGAGGGTAGAGGGAGGGGGAAACGCTTCTTAGGAGGCCGCTTCGTCGAAGGCGCCGGCCTTACACCTATTAGATGAGGCCCGCGCACTTTGAGAAGCAGGGATGAAGGAGCCTTCCTCTCTCCCCCTTCCCCCCCTCTGCGAATGGCCGATCTTGGCCCCCGAAATGCGCGGGAGGTCTGGGCCAGCACGGGGTGAGCCCGTCCAGCATCCTGCGTCCCAGACCCCCCAGAACATGATTTTTCCATCTCGTCGACCCTCAGAGGTCTCGGCCCATTCCCCTGGACCGGTTTTTCATCCTGAGTTTTTTTTTTACAGGCCCGAGGCCCGGTGAGGGCCTCCAGAGGCCGAGAATAGAGAAAAACCTCCCGCCATGAATTGTTACATTACCTTTAGGTCTGGCATGTCCTCCTGCAGGCCGATTTTGAAGGAAAAATGAAAAGTAACCCCCGAAAGATGCTCAACCATAGTCGCAAGTAGTGAAAAAATCGTCCTCTCACTATTTTCTGCTATGTTTGAATATTCCTCCTGTAGTGGCACATGCTCGACTCAAGACTACCCGAGGGGGCCTGGCGTGCGCGTGCGCGCGGCAGGTCGGGGCCCCGCCCAGTCAGTCGTCCTTCTTCCTCTCCCGGAGGCCGGCAACGTCGCAGACCGCCTGGAATGCGCCGGCGAGGCGGGCGCCGGCTGGTTCAGCCCACAGGAGGCGCAAGCGGTGCAGGGCTCGGCCTGAGCGGTGTGTTCCGCTTTCGTCAGCAGGTGGGCGGCGCTGGAGGAGGAGGGGGAGGAGGAGGGGGAGGAGGAGGGGGAGGACGAGGAGGAGGAGGATGATGAGGAGGGGGAGGAGGAGGAGGATGGAGGAGGAGGACGGAGGAGAAGGAGGAGGAGGAGGAGGAAACACTGAACCCCAAAACGGTTTCATTTCTTGGGGCCACATCTTTTACTTCCGCCGTCTTCCGCCGAGCTTCCGCCGACTTCCGCTGGCGGAGGCGGCCTCGTTTTACTTCCGCCGACCTTCCGCCGCCCTTCCGCCGTCTTCCGCCGAGGAAGAGATAACAACTCCTTCGGTCCTCGAAGGCAAGGCCATTTTTGGAACGCCCCAGATGTGCTCGCTTCCCCTCGTTCTGCCCTCGCTCCGCCTCTGCCGCAAGGCGGGCTCGAAACGGCAACGGCCCACGAGATCGGCTGAACACCGTTTGGCTCGAGCCCTGCACTGCCTCAAGTCCCCTTCTCACAATTGCTGTTGCTCGGACGTCCGTTTCCCATGCATTTCCCGTTTGCGTCTCCTATGTTTCGTCAGATGGTCCAGGAGGAGGAGGAGGAGGAGGAGGAGGAGGAGGAGGAGGAGGAGGAGGAGGCGGAAGAGGAGGGGTGCCCCCCCCCCCCCCCCCCCCCCCCCCCCCCCCCCCCCAGGGAAAAAACACTGAAGACAAACATCATCCTGCCCCACCCCCCTGAACTTAGGTCGGGCATGTCCTCCTACATGAGAATTTTGAACGAATAGCAGAATAACTTATGAATAACGCATGTAAATGTCCCAGAGAGCGTGATCCACCGCCACTTTACTGTGGAAAATTCCCCCCCTCTTCCTCTGGAACCCGGGGTCCCCCCCCCCTCCGAAAATCCCCCCCCCTGCTGGACCCCCCCCCCTTCCCTCCCCGGGCAAAAACCCCTCATCTCCCCCCCCCCCCCCCTCCATCGAAAACCGGGGGGGGGTCACTACCGGTTCGAACCCCCCCCCTCGAAAACCGGAGGGGGGGTCACTACCGGTTCGAACCCCTCCCCCCCCCCCCCTCACCGCTAGCAAACGACTCCCGGTCCCTACCACCGTCCTCACCACATCCCTCACTATTGTTCCCAGCACCACTCTCCTCACCACCACTGTCCCCACTGGTTCCACCACCGCCCCTACTGTCCCCACCAGTGCCACCACCACTGTCGCACTGTCCCCGCTGTCCCCACCACTGTTCCCACCACGGTTCCACTCTCCCCACTTTCTCCACGGCCCCAACCACTGCCCGACTATCCCCACTGTCCCCAATGTCCCACTGACTCCTCCGCTGTCCCACTGAGCTGTCCCACTGTTCCCACCACTGTCCCCACTGTCTCCACCACTGTCCCCACTGTACCTCTGTCCCATTGTCCCACCGCCGTCCTCGCCACCGCCTTCACCACTGTCCCCATCACCACTGTACCCTCCACTGTCCTACTGTTTCCACCACATTCCCGCTGTCCCCACACCACAGTCCCCACCACCACCACCACCGTCCCCACCACTGTCCCACTGTCCCCACCACTGTCCCGCTGTCCCCTCACCACTGTCCCCACCACCACCGTCCCCACCACTGTCCGCACCCCTCCACCCGGTTTTCGAGAGAGGGGGGGATTCGAACCGGTAGTGACCCCCCCCCCCTTTCACGATGGACTGGGGGGGGGAAGGGTTCGAACCGGTAGTGACCCCCCCCCGGTTTTCCGAAGGGGGGGGGAGGGGTTCGAACCGGTAGTGACCCCCCCCCGATTTTCCGCCAGCAGCGGTAGAACACGCTCTTTCAAATGTCCCTGAACTTAGGTCGGGCATATCCTCCTCGAGGGGGATTCTGGACGAGAAACCAAACAGCTGTTAAAAATACACCAGGATATCCAGAAACAGCAACATCAAATCGTCCCCAGACTATTTTCTGACCATTCTGAAGTCCTCCCCCCTGTAGAAGGGCGCGCCCGACACAGCCCTGAACACAAACGTGCTGTGTCAGATCCGCGTCGGGCTTGTCGGGAGCGGCCAAGAGGGGGGTGTCCACGAGGGGGGGGTGCAAATCATGACCCGCGGCATGTGCGCGGCCCAGCGGGGGGGACCAGGGACGTAATGGAAATAAGAAGAGTCACCATGAAATCCAGGGAAGTATCATGGCCCCCGCCATGATATGCATCCCCCCCCCTAGTCAGCACCCCCCTCTTGGCCGCCCCCGAGCTCGGGCGCCCCCCTGGGGGCCCTCGAGCACGCGGGGCCACTGCAGAGCAGGGGGGGCGGCCGAGGCGAGGAGGCGCCGACGGGCACCGGCGGCCGCGCGGGCAGGGCTCGGAGAAGCTGCTCTGCTCTAGAATGTAAGGAGACAGGGATGGAGAAGGAGGAGGATGGAGGAGGAGGAGGCGAAGGCGGAGGAGGCGGAGGACGAGAATGTAAGGAGGAAGGAATGGATGAGGAGGAGGCGGAGGAGGAGCTGACGGGAACCAGCGGCCGTGCGGGCAGGAGTCAGACAGTCTGATTTTCATGGACGAAGAACAATGGTTTCAGTTTCTGTGCCCAAGCAATGCTGATTTTCGTTTCACAAAATAGGAGAAGACAAAACGCCATAACCATACACTTTTGGCGCTCCGCGCGGATTTCTTGGATCTGCGCTGGACCCTCTCCCTGGCGCGCGGAGCGCATCAGGGGCGGCGACGGAGGCGCCGCCTGGGGGGGGGCCGCGCGGATCCAAGAAATCCGCGCGAAGCGCCAAGAGTTTAATCATGTTTATGGCGTCTTTTCTTCTTTGGGAAAAGCATGGAGAGGAAGAACTGATAAGATGAGGAGGGCCTCTCGCGGGCCCTCCTGCTGGGAGCCTCCCAGGGCCTCTCCCAGGAGCACCGCGGGAGCCCCCGGGGAGGGCTTGGTGCCCTCTGGGGCCCGTCGGGGGCCCCTTGGGCCGTCTTCGGTATTTGTGCTCTCCAGGGGGACTTTCGGTGCCCTGCTTTGACTCTCCGGGCGTGGTCGGGGCCCGCTGGAGATTCACCGAGGGCGTGGCGACAGGCAACAAGCCAAGCGAAGAAGAACGTACAGGGACAATTGGTTCCTGCATGCTCAGCGCTCGGGATCAGCTCGATCTTGAGGGCCTCCAGAGGCCTGCTCACGCATCTTGGTGCCCCCGCTTCGGGGCTCCCAATCGACTCTGGGGGCACGCGAACCTGCTGGCGTGATACGCGCGGCGGCCGCATACCTTCGGGGGGGGGCCCTGTACCCCAGACCCCCAGGCGGACACACAACAGAAACCCATCCACAAAACTAGGGAGAACAACGCCCGCCTTCCAACCGTGTGGCTCTCGGAATCATACAGCCATCGTGCTCCCATACGACTCGATCATCGGAGCTCCTCCTTCTCCTCCTCCCACCTCGCGAGGCACTAAGTGAAGTGTCCTCATGTCCCATCGGGTTCTCTGGGCAGCATATTGTAAATACTCCTTACGGGGCCCAAGTCCCAGAGTTCAGGTCGCTCTTGTGCACTGCCGGGCGCTTCCGGAGCCATAGACGGCCCCACTCCAAGAGACCCTCCAGACGATCGAGAGGGACCAGAGACGAAGACGGCCCAAGAGAAGCCCCAAGAGAGCCCAAGATGGCCCGCTGGGACCGCCAAGACTGCCCCACAGGAGCCCACGACAGCCCCAGGGCAAGCCCAGATACGCCCCATGAGAGCTCCTCAATCCTGGCCATCGCTTGGACGTCCATTCCCTGTGTTTTTTTTGAGGGTTTCGTGCGTGGTTCTTTCGCCAAATGATCAAGGATGCTCCTCGATGGTCCTCGCCGAAGGAAAAATACACACGTCCGAGCGATGCCAGGAATCACTGGGGACGAGAGAGGTCACATGTGGCGGCCCTCCAGGCGGTGCTCGAAATTGGTCGCCACACGAGGTGCGTCGCTGGCACGGCGACGGCTCTGCGCAGGCACCTGGATGATGCATCTTGGGCTTGCTCTGGTCCTCCTCTCGGCGGAGGGCCACTGGAGACAAGGGCGGCTCTCCCAGCCGCTCAGAGTCCGCTCAAAGTCTTTCCCAGGAGCCCTCCCAGGGTCCACCCTGACCAGGTTCCCTAGGCTCCCACACTTCCCTCCCTGATCAATGCAGCTCGCCCGGGCATCGTTGCTGGATGGGCTGGCGGGGATCTGCGAATCGTCAGGATTGGTTGTATGGTTGTTTTTGACAATCCAGGACCTTTCCTGAAGCTCATCCAAGATGGTGTCTTGAGCTGCGTCCAGCGGCGGCGACGAGAACCTCCAGAAACGCACAGCAACATCCACATCGACAACGCCGACGCCGATGACGACGACGGCGACGGTGACGGCGGCGGCGGCGACGACGACGACGACTACGACGACTACGACGACTACGACGACGACGCCGGCAGGCTGGGGCGGGGCGCGCCTGAGACCGCTGCGTGCGCCTGCCCAGCCGCGCGCGCGCGCCCGCGTCTGCGACCGCCGCTCTGTCGCCGCCTCGCCGCCGCTCGCCCGGCCTGCCCGCCGCTCCCCGCCAGGCCGCTCGACGACGCCGTCGACGCCGACGCCGACGACGCCGACGACGACGCCGACGACGACGCCGACGACGACGACGCAGACGACGAGGACGAGGAGGACGCCGAGGACGACGACGACGCCGAGGACGAGGAAGACACCGAGGACGACGACGACGACGACGACGACGACGACGACGAACCCCCCCCCACCTAGACCCTTGTTACCGTCCTTCGGGTGGCGACGAGGTTCGTCGCCCTGCCTTCGCCACGGGCCCGCTACCGCTCGCCCGTCGTCGTCGTCGTGGCCGTCCTCGTCGTCCGTCGCCCTGCCATTGTCGCAGAAGGCGAAGATCCTCGCATGCGCAGGGAAGGCTCGCACACTCGCGGGCCAGGCGGCGCGGTGGTGGCCACTCTTTTACAATACACGTGAGACCTGGTCTCACCCTCACACCAGCCCCGTACGCGGGGGGGGGGGCATGTGCGAGCATATTGTTTGCCTTCCCCACATCACTCACTGTTTGGCAGGTCGAGAAATCATGAGCATAGTATAGCAAACGCATCTGAGTCAGTGTTGTCTTGCCTTTGGGCGCAAACCGCCAATCATTGTCCTAGTGAAGGAATGGCTGGCGGTAGGCTACGCAGGTTGAAAGAGAGACTCCCAAATGGGCACAGTGGTCAGAAGCATTGTTGGCGATGGCGACGGGAGGAACATGGCCCAGGACACGTTCTGAGATCGGCTACGAGGATTTCCAGCTGCACCCAAGATGTCTACAGCATTGTGAGCGACACCGTGAGACACCCCATACGTCGCTGCTGGGTCTGCCTACACTACCGTACCAATCGAGCTTATCGATACTCATACATGTATGTGCCTGAAACTCTTAGCAAGCACGAACATGTCGAATGTAGGCTATGTTTTTGGTTTCGGGAGCTGCTCCCCAATGCCTGGAGAAAAACGTCAAGGCATCACCAGCAAAGGAGCAGCAAGTGTTCTCCCAACCACAAATCGACAACGCCGAGGTCCTGGCCACAGGTACTACCGAACAGCCCTTGTACGTTTGCGGATATGCGTGCGGTGAAGGGGGCACACACTCACCGAACTTACACACAGTGAGACTTGGTGTCAAGTTGATCGGGGACCCCGAACCAATCCGTCTTGGATTGTGGGGTTCATGGGCATCTAACTGGGTAAGGACAAACGTCGCGCATAGGCCCATGTGCCTTACTCCTTCGAACAAAATAGAAATTCGACCGCTGTGGTGCTGACAACCCACTTGTGGGCACTCGATATCGTGTATCCCCTGAATTTCACCACGCAAATGGCACCACATGTGTGGCACCACGTGGCTTCTCTTTTCCAGACGAATATTCGGATACATCCCCCCCCGATGTAAGCGGTCACCGCCTCGTGTTGCAAATTGCACACGATCCTGCCCCATCGTCCATCCGACACATGAACTCATCCCAACCAATCGGGGTTACCCCCCGCATCCAACGCAGGAAACTTTATGCACGCACCCGTTTCAAAAACTCCGGATTGCGCACACGCGCGTCGTCACGCGCGCATGCCGAAGTCCTTCAAACCCCTCGGCTTCGTACAAGTTTGAAAACCGAATGGCCCGAAAACATATAAACACACATGTTTCGCAACAAGGGTTTTCAAGCACAAAATGCGTTCGCGCTCTTGCGACTTCTTAAGACAACTATCGGTGCTGCAATAGGTTTGGAAACTATGGGCCTCTCTTGCGCGCGTGCCGAAATCGATCGAACGCCTTGGGTTAACAAGTGCGAATTCCACCAATGAGTTGCACAATATATGTGGCACCACGAGGGCTCCTCCTCTTAAGAAAAATACATAAAGCTGATCTATACCCCCCCTTTCCCCCTTTTCCCCCCTGGCGGCACGCTTTCCCCAAGCATAATACAAGTCACGCGCAAGACTGCCTCCTCGTTCGTTTTGCCCATATAGTACGACCATCCCAGCCAAACCCTCCATCGCCCCCACCCCTCCATGATCGTCAAATTAAGCGACGCGCGCACGCCCACGTAGAAGCAACCGCCAACTTCAATAAGCTGTTGTAAATCAATCGTTCGGAGAAATCCACAAGTGCGCGGCGTCGCGCGCACATGTCGGAATCCTTCGAACACTGGAGCACAGCAAGAATCGCAGCGCGTTCCAAATGAAACTTCCTGAACACCTACAAGCAACCAGCGGCGTTGCAACATGAGTTCTCAGCTAAAAATTTGCGCGCGCCCCCCTACAAATTTGACAGCGACGGGCTCATCGATGATTCTTCAACTGCAACCAAGCGGACCTCACTCGCTCGTGTGTCAAAATCAGTTTAGCACCCCTGCGCGCGCATTGCGGGGGAGGGGGAATGGGGACGAGTCCTGCCCTATAAAACAATACGGTATACTCGCGCCCGCCGGCTTCGCGCGTCGAAATCCTTCCGGAACCTTGATCACCGACGCGTAGACACCAGCATCGTCATCGGCGCGTGCAGCATGGGCGCCTTCATTGGCTTTGTTGTCATCATCGGTATCATCGCCACCAGCACCGCTACTAGGTCGCCGTGATACCACCCCCGCCCGAGACACCGACACGCACTGAAGAACCCGCGCGCCAGCGCGGCCTGCGAGACGCGCTGGAAGCCCCCCAGCGGTCAGCGCCACCGCGACTAGCTGGCCGCTTTGCGCGCGAGCGTCCTAGCGCGGCCGCAGCGATGCGCCAGTCAGCGCTAAGCAGTCATCACAATCACACCCACATGGGTTATGCAAACAAAGTTGCGGGTGGGTGAGTGGGATGATTGTGCAAGCAGAGGCGTTACCAACTTCAAGTTCAGCAGGGATAATTTCACAACGTGAATGGCACCACGCAAATTGCACCACACATATTGCAACACATAAGTGCAGCACATAGATCGTTCGTCGAACGCTGTCTTGGGCCCTCGAGGGCTAGCACTGCTGCGTAGTAGTAATAGCAGTACCGATTCTCATTACATAGCGCGACGCAGCAATACACAAGTACTATGAATAATGGTACTACGAATAGTAGACATTCGAATTTGAACAACCACATTCGCACTGGAAGTGGTAGCCGTGGTAGTAGCACTAGAAAACCGTTGCGCGCAGTCTTGATGTAGTAGTCATAGTCGCAATCGTGGTGGCCGTGGTTGCAGTATACATAAATAGTGAAAGCAGCAGGAGAAAGAACAAGAGGAGCAGCAGGATGAGCAGCAGGAAAGGAAGCAAGATAAGCAAAAGGAACAGCAGGAGGAACACTGGAAGAAGAGCATTGCAGCAGCAGGAGGAGTAGGAGAAGGAGGGGGAAAGGAGCAGGAGGAGGACCATGAACAGGAAGAACACTTGAGGAGCGACAGCATTAGGCAGAGCAGCTGCAAGAAAGAGAACAACAGAAATAACAACAGCCAGGGGAGCAGCCGGAGCAGCAGCGTGAGAAACAAGATGGATAACAGGAAGACGAGCAGCCGGGTGAGAAACAGCATGAGAAACAAGAGGAACAGCACCAGGAGAGAGCAGGAGGACCAGCAGGAGCAACTGCAGGAAATGAAGGAAAAGAGCATCACGAGGAGCAGCAGGAAAAGCAGCAGGGGGAACGACAGGAAGAGCAGTAGAAGTGCGGGCTAGAGGGCCAACAGCAGGAGCAGCAGGAGCAGGGAGGAAAAGCAGGAGAAGGGTTGACGAGCCGCATCACGAACAGTAGGAGGTGCAACCGAAACAACTACAGAAGCAGCAGGAGGGTCAGCAGAATGAACAGGAGGAACACCAAGATGAGCAACAGGAGGAGCAGCGGCAGGAAGAGCAGCCGGAGCAATAGCAGGAAGAGCAACTGGAGGAACAGCGGGAGGAGCAGGAAGATCAGCAGGAAAAGCACCTGAGAAGGAGGAACAGTGGATGAAGAGGTGCACGACGAGCACCAGAATAGCAGCAAAAACAACAAGAACAACAAGAACACAACACCGCAATCCCGGCGTCCCTGGCATTCCTGGCGAACCGTATGCATGTGTGAGCACGAAAGTATGCCTGTCATTTCCACATCGTACCTGTGAGCACACCACCACGCCCCAGGGGGAGCTGGCACCACCCACGCGTACGTTCGTTTCTGTTACGGGTGGTGGGGACCCCCCGCAACGGACTCTACAGGTCTCTATATAAGAAGCACTCTCTAGGCTGTGCAATTTCCGGTGTTTAACGGGATTGACCTATATTCGGCCATATTCAGCGGCTCTGAACCAAATTCAGCGGGATTAAGCCGACACGTCAAAACAATATCCGTACATCCGTGTATCCGAAGCGTACAGATGAGCTCAGGGACAAGCGCCCGACATGCGACAGAAAAACCCAAGCCTTCCTGTCAGCTCGCGCTCCTTGCCTCTTAGAGCATGTAGAACACGGATGCACGCAAAACACGCACGCACGTAGAACACCTATGCAGCGGGCGCGGGCGCGGGAGGGCCATCTTCCCTTTGTGGGCCCCGGAAACGGCAGGGCCGTTTTTTCACCGTTTCCAGAAAAATGTCCTTTGAAAATGGAAACGGCTAAAAAACGGCAACGGGAAACGGCAAAAAAACGGCTCCAGGATTGGAACCGGAGCCAGAGCCGGTCAAAAAACGGCGACGGAACCGGTGGAAAAACGGCGTCGGAACCGGCAACAGAAACGGCAAGACGGAACCGGTTGAAAAAACGGCCCTGTCGTTTCCAGGGCCCACTGAGCATCTTCCCCCCCTCCCCCCGCCCCTCCCGCCCACTCCTGCCCAGCCCTCCCCTCCAGACTTGGCTGTAGTACAGCGCGCAGGGCAGGAACGGCGCCGGCACTATCCAGGCTCCGCCTCGGCACGCGGCGGCCGCTGGGGCAGGGGCGCAGGAGGAGAGCAGAGGACGCCACGGAGCTTCACCCAGAGCGAACGCAGCAGACAGGGGTAGGCGGGCAGGCGCTCGGTGGGGGGCCGCCGGGTCGCTCCCAGCAGCCAGAGAAGGAGGAGGAGGATGAGGAAGAGGAGGAGGAGGAGGAGGAAAGTGAGGAGGAGGAGGGGGAAAAGGGTGGGGAGAGGAGGAGGATGAGGATGAGGAAGAGGAGGAGAAGGAGGAAGAGGACGAGAAGGAGGAGGAGGATGAGAGGGAGCAAGAAGAGAGAGCGAACGTCACCTCAGGGCCAGGTCCGCTTGATCATCTAGGCGCTACGCGGTCCAGCGCCGCCTGGAAAGGTCCGCGGGGAGCCTCAGAGCGTGCCAGGAGGAGGAGGAGGAGGTGAAGAAGGAGCAAGAGGAGGAGGAGGAGGAGGAGGAGGAGGAGGCGGAGGAGCAGGAGGAGGAGGAGGAGGACGAGGAGGAGGAGGGAGAGGAGAGATGAGGAGGACGGAGGAGAGAAGAAGAGGAGGAGGAGGGGGAGGAGGAGGAGGAGGAGGAGGAGGAAGAAGAGGAGGGGAGAGGAGGGAAGATATGAGGAGGAGGAGGAGGAGGCGGAGAAGGAGGAGGAGGAGGAGGAGGAGAAGGATGAGGATGAGGATGAGATGATAATGAGGATGAGGATGAGGGGCAGGGGGAGAGGAGGAGGAGGGGAGGAGGAGGAGGAGAGGAGGAGGAGGAGGAGGAGGAGGAGGAGGAGGAGGAGGAGGACGAGGAGGAGGAGGGAGAGGAGGATGAGGACGAGAAGGAGGAGGAGGAGGAGGAGGAGGACGAGGAGGACGAGGAGGAAGAAGAGGAGGAGGAGGGGGAGAAGGAGGAGGAGGAGGAGGAGGAGGAGGAAGAAGAGGAGGGAGAGGAGGGAAGATATGAGGAGGAGGAGGAGGAGGCGGAGAAGGAGGAGGAGGAGGAGGAGAAGGATGAGGATGAGGATGAGGATGATAATGAGGATGAGGATGAGGGGCAGGGGGAGGAGGAGGAGGAGGAGGAGGAGGAGGAGGAGGAGGAGAAGAAGGATGAGGAGGAGGAGGGGAAGAAGGAGAAGGAGAAGGAGAAGGAGGAGGAGGAAGAGGGATTGCTCACTCGGCTGGCTGCTGGCGGCACCCCAGCGCGCCGACGGCAAGACAGCTAATGCGGATGACCGCTGCGGCGCCCCCCCATTGGAGGTGAGGCGCTCACGGGCCCAGTGCCACCGAGCACGACTACGACGCCGGCTCCTGACTGGAGCTGCTGCCGGCCTTCCGCCGGGCCTCATGGAATTGAACGACGACCGGAGGATCCCCCACGGCGACACCAGCGAGCCGCAGAGCGCGCCGAAGAACCTCCACCACGAGAAGTCGGACAATGACATGCTGGTGGGGGTCTCCGATGGCGACGGCATCGAGCCGATGATCCATGACGTTCCGAAGAACCCCCAGGTTCGTGAGTTGTACGCCGCGTCGAACGGCATCTTTTGCTCCAGCTGCGCCGCGAAGACGTCGCAGGTGAATAGTCTGAAGAACGACGACCACCTTTGCTTCACGTGCTACGAGACGATGCATCAACGAGGGAAGTCGGACAAGACCATGCTGGTGAACGTCTCCGACAGCGAGCCGACGCATCTCCCCCACGGGAAGTCGGACAAGGACATGCCAGTGAGCGTCCCCGATTGCCACATCGAGTCGAAGACCTACGACGTTTGTGACCTGGACGGCACGACGAGCGACATCCTCTGCTCCAGCTGCGCCGTGAAGATGCCGCGCGTGGATAGCGAGAGGTACGACGACTATTTCTGTTTCTCGTGCTACGAGACGATGCACAAGCGCGGGAAGTCGGACACGGCCATGCTGGTGGACGCGACCAACACGACGGAGGACGTGCACGCAACGACGGAACCCCCGATCGACACCTACGCCGAGGAGCTGGATGGGGAGGTAGGTGGAGGACGACGCCATCCCACATCTACGACGCCTTCGCCCATGTGTGTAGCGACGCGATTGTCGACCTGAAGTGGCGCAGCGGCGAGGAGACGGTGACCGCGGCCCTCGAGCGCACGATGGCTGGGACGGCGTCCCAACCTTTTTGGGACTCCGCCGACTGTCTGTGGACCATCAATAGGCTTGCCACGCGACACATCCAACTGCTGAGCGATCTGCGCCTCTCTGACCCCTCGATCCTCCACCCTCGGACTCCCGTGCGCTGCAGCAGTGAGTGCAGATGAACAGGCGGCGGCGTACCTCTTCAGCTAGCGTCGCGATTTTAGAATTTCAAGATCGCGCCCCCCCGCGGGCCCAGCATGGCCCCTCACTGGCGTGATGCCATCGGGCTGTGCGCGAACCTGAGCACGAGCAATGTCTTGATGCAGATGAGGAGGCGGCGGCATTCTTGGTCTTTGGGCTCGCGTAGCGAATATTCATCCGCGCCTGGCCTGTCACCTCGACCACGGGTTGCCGCCCCGAGCAGCGTTGTCGAGCGTGCCCCAGACGCGCCGCCGAGAGAATATGGACCTGATGGGGTCCTGCGACGGTCTTGCTGCAGAGGAGGAGGAGGAGGAGGAGGAGGAGGTGGAGGAGGAGGAGGCGGAGGAGGCGGATGGGGGAGGAGCATGAGCAAGAGGAGGACGAGGAGGAGGTGGAGAGGCAGGAGGAGGAGGAGGAGGGGCAAGGGAAGCATGGCCGGGAGGAGGCCGAGGCGCGTGAGACCTCCGAAGCAGAGGCAGAAAAGGGGGCACGATACGATACGATCACCGCTGTGGGCACAGCCCTGGCCTAACTAGCTAAGACCAGGTGGGCAAAGCCGTGGCCTCCGAAAATGTGGCGCGTCTGGACAAAAGCCATGCGATATACACGTATAGAGTTATGAGGGGAGGGAAGGTCGGGGGACTCGAAAGGGAAGGATAGCGGAGGGTAGGGTAAAGAATCGGCTCACGCAACTGTGTTTTTCCCGGCGCCCCCTGGCGCCGGGAGGCCTGGAGGCGCCCCTGCATCGAGGAGTGGGCCCAGCGTCGGGGCCGAAAGCCAGCTCAGCCATGCAGCAGATGTCGTAGCCCGGCGGCGGGGCCGCAAGCCAGCTGGGCATTCGCGAAGCCGCGGCCGCCAAGGCAGAGGCACAGGAGAGAGGGCGAGGAGCAGGGCGGACGTGCGGCGGAGGGGCGCACGCGAGGCGGCGGCGCACACAGGGGCGCCGTGCATCGTGGAGGGATGGCCTGCCAGGCAGACCTGGCTGCGAAGCAGGCAGCTCGGGCGGGTTTCGGTTACACGCAGGAGTGGCCCCAGGTAAGGGTGATCTCTGGTGCGCGGTTTCTTGGGGGCCGCGGGGGGACCAGATACAAGCGCGCAAGACGCTACTATCGCATCGCGTTCTGCGATCGGGGATCCCCACTGGGCCCGCGCAAAAGGTGACTCGGGCGAAGGGTCCCTCTTACGTGCAGCCGAGGCTTGATATGGGGGGTGACCTACGTGGGGGGTGAAGACAGGGGCGCTGAAGGGGCCCTTTAAGGCACCTTTTGGGCCCCTGCTGGCTCCCAAAGGGACCCTGACGGGCCCCTTTAGGTCGTCTTCGGCCCCCGTGTAGGTCACCCCCCTACCACCCACCCGAGCAGGCAGGAGCGCGGCGGGCGCTGGTCTCGTAAGCGTAATGAGCAGGAGGAGGAAGAGCGAGGCAGTGAAAAGCGGGAGGAGGAGGAGGAGATGATACTGGAGGGGAAAAGGGGGAGACGATGGGGGACACGAGGGTCCGGAGGGGGGTGACAATGACGATGATGATGATGATGATGATGATGATGATGATGATGGTGGTGATGATGATGATGATGATGATGATGATGACGGTGATGACGATGATTATGATGATGATGAGGAGGAGGATGACAATGGTGATAATGATGACGATGATAGTGATGATGATGACGATGCTGACAATGATGGCGGTGGCGATGATGATTTTTACTCGGCATCAGGACCAAACGAGCCAACGCAGCGTTTTAAAAAATGGTCCGCCGCAGAGCGCCGAATCGATCGTGAAACCCAGCTCTTGGGGCCACGTCCCGCGGGCGCTGACACAGGGGGGCTGCGTCGCGCTGCCACGAAACGCTCCGAGGAGGCATTTACTCGTCAAACAAAAACGCCGCGGCCTCGTCTTCTGCTGCTGTATCGACCTGGTCGTGTGGGCCCTCATGCCCTTCGAGATGGGCTGATCCCGAGTCGGCAGAGTCTGGCTGCGCCAGCCCTGCCGATCCCGAAGTCTGCTGGCCCGGACAAGAAGACAGAAATAGCTGAGACTGGCGGCGCAGGCCCTACAGCACGCTCCAGCTCTGAGTCTTCTAGGACTGGCGGCGCACGCCCTGCGGCATGCTCCTGCTCTGAGTCTGCTGAGACTGGCAACGCACGCCCTGCCACCCTCGGATCGGCCAGCCCAGAAAAGAAAACAGAAGCTGCTGAGACTGACGGCGCACGCCCTGTGGCATGCTCCAGTCTTGGGTATTCTAGGACTGGCGGCGCACGCCCTGCGGCACGCTCCAGCTCTGAGTCTTCTGAGACTGGCTGCGCACGTCCTGTCGACCCCGAGTCGGCAGCTGCTGCGGGGCCTGGCCTAGAAGCGAATACAGATGCGGCTGAAACTGGCGGCGCGCGCCCTTCGGTACGCTCCTGCACTGAGTCTTCTGAGACTGGCGGCGCACGCCCTGTGGCACGCTCCTGCTCTGAGTCTTCTGAGGGCGGGCGCTGGCGTTGCACCTGTGCACCGTGGCGGCTGGCAGGGAGCGGGGGGCCCCGAACAAAAACTATTGCTCGAGTGGCTCCAGCCAGTGCGCCACCTCTTCCTCGAGCCATCCCGCTGGGGCCACCCCACGGTGGTGCTGCGCCGCGCCCTCGGCGGTCAACGCCTTCATGATTACCTTGCGGCCTGGCCACTCTGGGGCCCCCACGATCAGCTTGGTCTTGTCCGCGTCG